TTAAAACATTGAGGACAGTGTTTGATTTAAGTGTGGGAGAGGAATTTTATATGCTTTCTAGTTAGATTTCTTGTTTTCTAGATTAGATTTATTTCTTTTTATTATTTTCTTTTAAAAATATATGATGTCAGTTATTTATTAAATTTCTTCCTTTTCTTGAGCCATACCAAAAAAATTTGCAAAAATAAACAGTGCTTGTTTTAAATTATGGGCTATTAGACATGTTAAAAAGACTAGGGAGAAATCTTGAAATAACAGTATCATTTTAACACTGTAAGTCTCTCAACTATAGAGATCGATTTGGATAATTGTTATGGTTTGGTTTTAAGTTCTCACCCCAAAATAAACCCTTAAGTAGTTTATTTTAGCAATCAACTCTGGTTTAAGCATGCTCTACGTAAGGAAGCCGACGAATATAAGTGAATGATCCTAAGTTTCTTTTCTGTTTTAATTAATTAAAAATAGGGAATGAAACTTCTAAGTTATGCGGCCCTCATAAGGTCTCTTAGCCCAACCATTATGGAACCTGCAAAAATATAATAAAACATGTTGTTAGTTGGTTCAGAAGTATCTGGTACTAAAACTTGGTAGAGAGGTCTACGGTCCGATCCCCCGCAACTACAATTGGGTAAACAAAGGGGTCACACCTTCTTAGGTACCAGAACCCCAAGTAAAGGATCAGATTCTCTAACCAGTCACCTAAATATGAGTATGCACGGATAACGGGCTTAATGTGATTGTGCATGAACGAAAAAGGATAAAAATAGGATGAGTAAGTTAGACTTTAGCGTAATGACATGATTCATATTGGTTTGTATATGGGAGAGACTTATGACCTCGAAACAAGAAATGTGTTATTATTATTCTTTTGTTTTCGGTAATTTAGTACCTATTATCATAACTTTTTCAAGAAGAAACTTTTGAAAGCACAAAGTAGCTATTGAATATCATTGTTTACTTACATTTTGCTTGAGGACAAGCAATGGTTCAAGTGTGGGAGAGTTCGTTGACACCAAATCACATCTTATATTTGACTTGATTTTAATTTGTTTTATTGTCATTTTATTTTCATTTCCAGTTTTATGTTGGCGTTTTTCCTCTGTTTCAGGAAATTGACTAATCAGGAGCTATGTGCGAAGAAACGAAGCAAAGTAGGCAAAAAGAAAAAGAAGATTTGGAGCTAGCTTGCCCCTATGGCTACCCCCATGGCATTCATTTTAGGACTTCCATGGGCGGTCCATGCACCAACTAGTGGGATGACCAAGTCATGCCCACTTTGTGAGCATGGAGATTTCCATGAGTGCGTGGCGGTCACCACTATTTGTAAAGACCAAACGGTTGGAAACGAGCTTTCTTAGTCTCCAAGAGTCCATATAACCACTCCTACAATCTCACCACTACTTTGAATCGTTTTCAAGGATTTTTAGGGTTTTTGGAATCCTATAAATACCCCCATTCATTTCACCATTTCATTCATCCAAGCTTATGCACACTTAAGCCAATTACTGTCAATTTGTAAAGCAATAATCTCTTCACATTGGAGGATTATTGCACCGTCGATTGAGTCTGTATCAAGTTTAGAGCACTCTTGTATAAATTTTATTACCAAGAAATTTATTTTTTCCATTTATTTTAATCAAGATTTACTTCAAGTTATCGCAATTGTACCAGATTTAAGACTCCGTTTGGGGCAGGTTTTTAATTTATTCAGCATTTACTTTATTTTCCTTGCCTTTACTTTCATGTCTTACTTACTTGCCTTTATTCTCTTCATCTATTTACCCGTCATTATGTTTACCTTTGAACTTAAAACAGTTTATGTTTTGTTTTCCATAAACATCTCAGGCTAATCTACTTAGTGTTGGGATGTGAGGATCGTCAATAGCCAATGCTCTACATGTTGTCTCTTTAGGATCACATTTGTAGGCTGTTTTGATTTAAATGCAATTTTTCTGAACTTATTTTGAATTTGCTTACACAAAAGTGAAGCAGTGAAAACATCGGGTAAGATCGAAAGTTGTCTGATACTAAAGATTAAAAAATGGTTTGATTGTTGTTAATAAATACTGTGAAAGCACTTTGTTAGTTAAGTAGAAAGATTTAATATTTTTAAAAGGAGGTTTTAAAACTATTTGCAGACGCGTTCATGGGATTAGGATCTAGTACCTAAGCGAAATCTTATGAACCCTTTTAAGTTAAATTTTCCAATCAAAATTACTTTTCGACTTAGTTAAGAGTTTAATTTCTTAAAAATATGTTTAGTACTTTAACGTGTTAAGCAGCTTCCATAAGTGACAATGGTGGACATAAATTAGAGAGTAAACTCGGTTTTGAATACGCGAAAGCGACAATTCCTGTTAAATTGATTCTTTTCAAAGAAAGGAATATTGCCCCGTAAGTACTCCTAGTAGAGACAATCAGAGTATTGTTGATTGATGTAAATTGCATTTCAGCATTATTATTCATCTATTTTCATCTAAAGTTTATTTATTTCATCTCTCTTTTAACCACTATTTTAATTGTCTTAGATAAACACTGTAATAACTAGAAACAATAGATTCGACTATTGGTCTATATGGATCGATATATTTTTTAAACTACACGATAGGCTGTGCACTTGCAGTTATATTTTATACTCACATAAATAGCCGATCAACTTTCATCAAATTTTTTTCTCATAAACAAAAGGGAACTAGTGGTCAAGGATGGCATACCTCGAGGGGGGTATCCTAACACTCCTTTTAGTTGTGTCGTTCAACTGGGGTTGCTTATGACAGACCCTGACGCTAAATATGGATTGATAGGGGATGCAATAGTTATTGCATTATCTGCATACGTACATGCACTATATTGTAGGCATGCCATCATCGTGATTGGCATGCCATAAGGATGATCCCTACTGATATGAGGCATTGTAAAACTTAGGGGGAAATATGGCCTAATATTTCCCATTACTGCTTGTGTGTCCCTGAGAGTGGTTGGGATATTTATTATTTGTGGTAGTGATACCTCCACTTCTTGTGGTATCGTCGACGTTGATATCTGACCTATAATAGTAGGGTTTTCTCCAATGGTTGTTGAAGTCCTTGGATTTTCAACCATCGTACCAATCATTTATTCTTCTATGTAGGGAGTATTTCTCCTAGGAGGGGGAAGATTTTGATTTTTTAATGTTGGACGAGTCATTTATGGAAGAGTTTTATCACTCCTCAGCCACATAAACACTCGACAACTAACGACATTTCATATATAAAGAACAAAAAATAATAATAACTGATACAATACCTTTTGTAGAAATTAATATTTTTTGCACAAAAGGGTTTCAGCGGGTGTGCCAATTTGCTTACTAATATTTTTAGTAAACAATCACGAGTTTAATTCACTTAAGAGATTAACTCGAAAAATGTCAAGGATAATTTGTGAAAAGAAAATATACAACAAAAAGTGTGAGTGATTTAGACTTAAATGTTTGGATAATAATCAACTAGACCTAAACAATAAATTTTGTAAAAAGATAATAAATAAAAAACAAAGTGGATGACATTTAAAGTAAATACATCAAATACAAAAGACTTTAAAGAAATAAAATAATAGATGAAGACTCATACATTTCTCACAAATTATTTCTCTTATAACTTGGGTACTTTAGTTTTATAGAGAATAAATGAGAATTTGTGATCTTCGACAACAACACTGAGATCGATTTATATACTAGTACAATGTTAACCGTCAACAATAATTATCTCTATAGAAATTGACATGTATCCTTCTATGTGGACTTTAAACTCTTGATTTTCCTTCGCAGTCTTCAGTGTTTAAACTTCTAAAAACCTGTTATCATTTTGATAAATGCCTTGAAAAAACCTCATAATTGCCTCTATCAGGATTTTTTTACTTATGTCCATAGAGTGCTCATAACATCTTTGATTTATTTGACTCTTAGATTAAAAATATGCTAAGTCTCCAACATCTGACAAATGTGTTGAACTTGACACTCTGTCAAAAGTTTCCTTTGTGTAACCCTTTTCGCGATCCTTGACATGTTTTGAAGAGAGAGTGATCCTAATCTTATAGATATGTTTCTTAGACTCTTCTAAATCACACCTACCACGTTAGTCAAGCCTTCTTGGTCAACGTATCCAGTGTCAGAGATTGACCCTAATCTTATGGATATTGTCAACAATATATATATATATATATATATATATATATATATATATATATATATATATATATATATATATATATATATATATATATATATATATATATATATATATATATATATATATATATATATATATATATATATTAGAAGAATTTATAAAAATATATTTAAAAAAATTATAAAAATTTATAAAAAATTTCATAAGTTGTTTTTACTAATCTACTAAACAATGACACAAAATTTATGAGAATAGATAAGCTCAAATAAACTCACCCAAACATACCCTTAGTCTAGTGGATATTTACTTTTTGTGCCTGGAAACTTGAAACTTTGCTCCGATTGTAATATTGAAAGAGTGAAAAACTATATTATGCTATTTCATTTTTTTTAAGTGTGTTTCAAATATTTTTGGAACAATTCCACATGTTTGATGAAATCATTTTCCTCATTGTGATAAGTAAACGTGATTAGTGATATCATTACATGTAAATGTTTGTGATTTTTTGGCTTGCTTTGACAACGATAGTAATTATTGCAAGGGCAAATCTACATTTCACTTTTTAGTAAGACATGTAAACTAAATTTAAAGGTTTAGGCTGTCGAAATGAATACTTAAGTTGACAAATGTAAAAGTAAGTGATGTGTATATCATTAATGAGAGTCAATTAAGCACATCATGAATGAAGGATACCAGGTTGAGGATGCTCTAAGATCCTCAGGACTAAAAAATGTAAACGAAACAATCATATTCAGTAGAAAATATAGTGATACAACAACATTGTTATCAACCATTTGATTTGCAGGAAACATTGGAAGGGTAAAGAATATAAAATTATTCAGATGTAGGAATTGATGTAACTACAGGAGGAGGTGGCTCTTTATTAATGTTAACAGCCTTTCCTTTCTCTCTAAGCCTGGCAACTTCTTCTTTCAGGGCTTCTTTTCTCTTCTTGCTAGCCATTACTTTCGCCTGAACAGCACTGACATTAGGATCTTTTTTCTCCTTTGGTGGAGAAGGTGGAGGCCTTCTAGCCGCTGCTCTTGCACTTTGCTCATTGCTCCAACTCAAACCCAACACTGCTGCACCACTTAATCCCATCATTGCCCTGCGTGCAATCAATGACAATGACAATATAATGAAGGTATATACTCTTTTAGAGCTCATGAACTATAGTAATGGTAATACCTCCGGTGCAGAGTGTGGTCATCACGGAGAGGAGGGACTTGCTCATGATTAGAGACCTGATGTTGATATTGGTTGCCAATGCAGCACACTCTTGGAGTGGTAAAACACCCATTTTTCCCAGAACACAGGGAGGAGCTATTCCAAGGTCTCGCAGAGAGAGGTGTTACGGCTGTGGTAGGAACCGGTGACAGCAAATGAGCCATGATTTTTGACTGGCTTCAGCTTTGAACTTTTGAGAAAACAGAGAAACGAGAAGAGAGATATATAGTTATTGATTAAAAAGAAATTATTAAAATGGAGTTTGGGTGGTTATCTTGTGACTCGTGTCACCAACAAGAAAAAGGAAAACATTCCGTTGGCAGTGCGGACTAGAACTTGGGGTGGATATTGATTAGGGATGAAGTGTGCAATTTGATTGCGGAAGTTCATTGGCTCGTTCAAGATAAGGGGATTCATTATTTTGTCTAATGTGGACCCTCCCTTACCCGTATTCTTTGCTTTTTTCATGTACAGCACTCACGAATATTTTTTGTTGTTATTGAATTGTTTTGCCGTAGACGCACATTAAAATAGACGATCATATATCTCGCAAGATAGAATTAGAACATAAAAATGTATAATCATTTCGACAATTAGAACATAAAAATGTATAATCATTTCAGCCAGTGCATGGCATTTGGGGACATGTACTAAATCTGGAAGAAACAGATACATTGAAGATAAATGAGTGAAAAAATATATATCAAATTCCCCTCCGTGGTAGACTAAACTTCTAGAATTGAACCTCCAACCTCAAATCAAACTCTCAACTTTCCAAGCTTAACCACAAGTGGCTAGAAATAAAATTGCTAATGTTCTACAATATTATTACATCAAAGAATGAAATTTACATACCATGATACAACAAAAATTTGAAAAGCTCTACACAATCAATCAATGCCATAAGTTGGGTACTGACTCGTGATTAAACTGCTGTCAGACTAGCCCATTTACCAAGGTCGTATGGATCAGCATAATAGTACAGCTTTATTCTATTGGACAGAGATAACCCTGCTGCCAATGGAGAAATTCTAGCACCAGAATCATCTTGTTCTGATGAGTCGTCGGTAAATGCGGCAACATCTCCAAGTAGTTTGAAAGAAATTCTGCGAGCTTGTATCTGCCTGGAGAAATCGAAGTACATCGGTGTTCCAGCCCTGGTCTCTGGTAATCGGTACTCACCAATAACTACCATGGTATTGTTCTCCTGCAATCAATCTAATGGTCAGATTATCCATATATGATGGTTCAGAATGTTGCATTTAAAAGAAAGAAGGGGATTTTATTTAATGTCTGTTTCTCCTCCTCCTCCTACCCTCAACCAACAGAACCCAAAGTAAAGAGTAGCAAGAATGGCTTACAAGCCAAGTCTCCAGAAATTTGAGAGCCTGATCTCACCCTCACAACTCAGTAACCAACAAACTTAACTGCCCTATGTTATCTTCATTTTGATCCTTCTTACCTCTATTACTACTGTCAACTAACTCAATTTAAGAATTTACTTAAGCAACAACGTTAACTATAAAAATCTAATTTGCCGAGGCTGGCCGCTCTATGCGTCTCTGATTTCAGAAAATGTTTTCTGTTTTCACTAATTATTACAAAACTGACACCTTGCTTTCACTTTCTATATGATGCATGGACTCCAGCACGGACACTAAGACACAACACGACACGGACACTCCAACACCGATAATGTCAAAAACATAGAACACTAACGCCGACGCATATAGCATTTGAGTTTCATTTGTCAATCTATTATTACAAGAGTTAAAGTATTCTAATCAAAATCTCCTTAACTCTTCTTTGATATCATTGCTTCAATGCATATTTAACCCTTTTAGATGTGAGTGGAAATTGTCCAAAAAAAACCTACAAGGTTTGTTGGAGAAAAGGGAAAAAAATTGAAACACTTGTCTGAATTATCTAGCAGATGCTGAATGACACAGTATCGTAGAGACACCAATTCAAAAAGTGTTGAAGCAAAGAAAAAACCATGGATATTACCGTGTCATAGAAATGTGACAGAAGCAGTACAATAATGTTACAGTAAATACCTGGAGAACAGAAACTTGTAAGTATAATACAGCTGGATTGATGTATCTATCATCAAAAATTGAAAAAATATGCTGGCTGTGAACATCTGACAAAGGTGAATGGGTAACCCGAGGCTTGATTGCACTAAAGACATCTAGACGGAACCCAGCCAGCAAAGGAGAAGCAGGAGACAGATACTGCTCCAGGACAAGATTATTGTCCATCAATCTCTCAGCCTCAATCGGAACCTAAAAAAAATCAGAAGTTGATAAATGTTTGAGATGGATATAACTTTAAAAAATGGTTACCAAAAAACGATTAAGTAATATAGCACGGAGTTTACCTTGAATCTATTTAGCTGTGGAGCTCTTTCCAAAAACCCGGTCAAGCTCAACTTGTCAGGGCTTTGATATGAATTAAGATTAAGATCAATTTCCTTTCTGATGGGGATCCCGATCACCAAAATCCTCTTGGCATGAAGACAGGATTCGCTTTCGGCAGTTCCACCAAAAGAAGCCCGTCGAGTTTCTTGTGCAAAAGGGTTCTCGTCTAGAGATAGTAAATTGAAGTCACTTCCAATACTAATAGAACTTGAACCAGGTCGTTGGAGGCGTAAGCAAATCCAAATTATGCGGCACCGAACAGAATTTTTGAAGGCAAATTTCACATGTCTAGGCACTTTATATTCTGTCCCTGGCTTTTCAGGCCCACATAATTCTGAAGAAGCTTTAATCATAGATTGTAGATCCCATTTTCCCATTAACGATCGTTCTTCCTTGTGTATTTTATTACTTGCCCAAATTTGCACCTGTTCCAACATAATGTTAGTTTATTTCTAAATTTCATGAACGATAAATAAATAAAAAAAGAGCATTAGGCAAATGACAAATGGTCACTTACAATTGGAGCATCAGCCATGGAGTAGCCACATGGGCTGACTATTAATGTAACCCCGCTAACATCAGAAACGTTACCAAGGACAATTCCAAATTCAACAGAGGTGACACTAGATGGAGCTTTCCAATATGATAGCCGTGAACCAGAATTAAATGGAGCAAGCAATGACAAAAATGGAGCAGAGTTTGCTGCTGTTTCAACCTGCAATTACATGGTTAGCGGTTACTTGTATTAAAATATATATAGGGTGCAAAAATGGAACTAGACCTCTGTATTTGGAGTAACAGAATCATACCCAATGTGGCAAATACTTATATGATATATTGTAACGGAAACATAATAAATCATTAGCGCTTCAAAGCACACAATAATTACTCAAAACAAGGGGTTAATCAGAAGTCAAGGTTGACTAAATCAGTGTTATCAATCCCGGGTTGACCCAAAAATGCTATAGCGAAACGGCAGCTATTTTGAAATTTTTATACAGTTTAGTAAAAACTCAACAGCTAACTGTGATGAACCAATCAGAGGGTGAAATATAAGAGTGAGAGCATTTTTTGGATTCCTAAAATACCCCAATCAAAAAGCTCAAACATTTAAACTTCAAGGGAATTTTTGGGATTTTCAATCTGATTATAAAATGTGGCACTATAGGGGCCGCAAAAGCCGCTTTTTTGGCCTCTGTGGGCCTATGGAAGCTGCTACACTAAACTGCTACTGAATGTCTAGTAGCAGCAAGGGGTCCCTCTGCTATAGCGCGATGTTGAGATGGTCCAGTGTTCCTGCAGAAGCTTCCAATATAATTAATTATATATAGCTTCAAGTGTTTGCTTAAATATTTTTTTGACCAGTGCCACACTGGCTTGTATATTGTAGTGTTTTCACTCTGTTTTCTGAGCATATCACTTAAAAACAATTAACGTACATCTAGTGATCTAACAAAATAAGACCCTGTAATAGTAATTCAATAATTCAGCTGCATGAGAGTACATCCAACAATTACTTAATTCCATGGTTAAATAATAATTCTTTTGAATCTTGGAATGGAAACCTAAACCCTAATACCGTGTGTTAGTTTCATCCAGTGCATCCTTTCATGATGCAACAATAGATTTGCCAGCGAAACATCTGTGTTATGAGACGTGCTGTAAGTTACTTAATCAGTGCTAGGTAGTTAGGAAAACAGAAATAACAAGATATAAATAATAGGAGAAAAAGACAGGGAGATCATCTATTGATTTGAGAGAAAATAAAAAGCCTTTGGGCGGGGGGAGGTTTGCAGACCCTCAAATTCTACAGCATTCTACGTTGGTCATTAGGGCTTATCCCTATTTCTTTCAAATAAAATACTAGGTTTTTACCACCATCCAATTAAAACAGTTCAGGTTATCGACATTTAAAACATCCATGCCAGATTTTATTCAAGTCATATATCCTGGATTAAATAAACACACTTGGTAGAAGCAGCAGTGTGTGGCTTGACAATCCACAATATAAAAAACAAAATAAAATGATGCATAGCCTAAAATCAGAATAAATGTTGAATTAAATAATATATATACCGGGTGTAAAAAGCTGGCAAAAGGAAACTCGGCCAGGGATTCATATCCATTCAATAACAGCTGTACAGCTTTACCAGCTGACTGTCTATCAGGGATCAGATTCTTTTCCAGAAGACAATCCCATGATGATCCAATGGTTTGCTTCAAAGCATTGTATGCAGCCTTTTCCACACGGTCTTTTCTTCTTAAGCTAAGCAGAACCCTCACATAGTCCAAAATTAGTGTGTCAAGCACAATATCCTGGCAGCATCGTTTACAAATTATGCCATCCCGAGCTAATAAGCGGTTTATAGGTAAGTCAACTGGGCCACTTTGGCTTGATGCACCATTGTAATTCATGACATCTCTCGAGTTATATCCTACAAGCAGAAATGCCCCTCTCCCAGCACAACAAACTTTACAAACCTTCCTTTCACATTGAGAACACAGGAATACTGGCTCTGAAGCCCCACCAGATGGCATTGTGTTAGACGAATGAACTGATTTTTTTATTTCCGCGCGCACCTCACACTTGCCACCCGAACAGGTTTCACCTATTCTGGCAATATTCCAAAAGTCTACTGGATTATCATCAACAGTCCCAAGCCCAATTGCAGCAACAAGTTTATCTTCAAGAGAGGCTTCTCCAAGCAGGGCAAGATTGCTTGCAACTTTAGATAATCTTCCCA